TCCGATGGCTCTGACAAGAAAGAGAAGAAATTTGAGCCAGCTGCACCCCCTGCCAGGGTGGGTCGCAGGCAACGAAAACAGAAAGGACCCGAAGCCGCGGCTCGGCTCCCCACAGTAACGCCGCTGACCAAGTGTAAGCTCCGGCTGTTAAAGCTGGAGCGGATCAAGGACTACTTACTGATGGAAGAAGAGTTCGTGGCTAACCAGGAACGGCTCAAACCGCAGGAAGAGAAAGCGGAGGAGGATCGATCTAAAGTCGATGATTTAAGAGGGTCGCCAATGAGTGTGGGTAATTTGGAGGAGCTGATTGATGAGAATCATGCGATTGTTTCGTCGTCGGTTGGGCCGGAGTATTATGTTGGGATTTTATCGTTTGTTGATAAGGATCAGTTGGAGCCTGGTTGTGCTATTTTGATGCACAATAAGGTAATTAAAGTTTTTGTCTTTTTGGGTGGTTTTTTTTTTTTAAACTAGAGACTGTGAAAGGAAAAGGATTTAAGTATTATTTTAGCTGAAAGAGTACTGGACTATTCTGCTGAATTTTGAATATGCAATTTAGAATCAGTTCTAGAATAATTTTAAATTTTGGGTCTGCAGCTGCAATCTGATTGAAGTTGCTGCTGTTCAGAATTAGTGGTTTGATATTTATCATATATGAGATAATTTCTTCTGAATTGTACTAGGTAAGAGGGTTTTAATAATCATTCTTAATCAAGCTTAAATTGGAGCACCTTGTTGAGCTTCAAAATGAACTTTTAGTCAAACTTGAGTTTGTAAATGAGTTTGAACCATGATCTATCTCTCAATATTGAGAGTTTCTTAAATAAAATTGAGTGAGGCTTGATGTAAAATTTGAATAAACAAGCCAAGAATGGGGTTTTGGCTCATCAGCTTGCTTCTTTGCTATCGTAGTTGATGATATTCGTGCCTTAGGGGATATTGTGTGAGTCAGACCCTTGCTAATCCAAAATACTAGTATAAATCTAATTTTTTACCTATTACTGAGTGGTGTCTATATTAAAAGGATAATAGGAATCATCTTCTTGAATTTGAGTGTTCTGCATCTATTATTTCATTAGATTGTAAGCATTTTCTATCAGACATTATGTTCCATTTCACACAGTTCCTTTGCTCTTAGAAAGAAATTTATGCTTGGTTATTGTATGTTCTCAGGTTTTGTCTGTTGTTGGACTTCTGCAAGATGAAGTTGATCCAATGGTATCAGTGATGAAGGTTGAAAAGGCTCCATTGGAATCTTATGCGGATATAGGAGGTTTGGATGCTCAGATACAGGAGATTAAAGAGGCCGTTGAGCTCCCTCTTACTCACCCTGAATTATATGAAGATATTGGTATTAAGCCTCCAAAAGGAGTTATATTGTATGGAGAGCCTGGGACAGGCAAGACATTGCTTGCAAAGGTTTGTTTCTTATGTTTTTATGCTAGACCTTTTTCTTTTGATGTGCGTCTGTCTGTAATATCTGATCGTTTAATCTTAGTTCTTCCACCATCCCTGAGTTTTATGTTAATCTCTTGTTTGATTAGAAGATAAAACATCTCATGTCTAGACATGAACACAAGGTGCCAGGCATGACAACTTTCCAAATATATGATTTTTCGTATATTATACAACTCTTAATTATTTATTTTGGACATAGCAAGTTGTTTGCACTAGTATCACATTGTTAGTTGATCTGGTTGTTTCTGCTGTTTCAATGTATCTGAGCTTGTTATGTCATTTATGTTCTTTTTAGGCAGTGGCAAATTCTACATCAGCGACTTTCTTACGTGTTGTTGGCAGTGAATTAATTCAGAAGTACTTAGGAGATGGTCCCAAGTTAGTTAGGGAACTCTTCAGAGTTGCCGATGACCTCTCCCCATCAATTGTCTTCATTGATGAAATTGATGCAGTTGGTACTAAGAGGTAAGTTTTGAAACAGTTATGCTATAGTGGAAGTCTGCTTTGTCATTAATAATCTGCTGTACAGGTATGATGCCCATTCTGGTGGTGAACGCGAAATTCAGAGGACCATGTTGGAGTTGCTGAACCAATTAGATGGCTTCGACTCAAGAGGAGATGTCAAAGTGATACTTGCAACAAATCGAATTGAAAGTCTGGATCCAGCTTTGCTTCGCCCTGGTCGAATTGATAGGAAGATTGAATTTCCCCTACCTGACATCAAAACAAGGAGGCGTATTTTCCAGGTATGTATATTGTTTCATGGTGTCTTGAAACTCTTTATCACATATTTTTATCTTTCTCTTCTCATTTTCATTAGCAGTTAGTGTCTTTAGGCTAGCTTCATTATTATACTAAGCCATTTTCAAATCTTTGGACTACAGATACATACATCAAGGATGACATTGGCTGATGATGTAAACTTGGAAGAATTTGTTATGACTAAAGATGAGTTTTCTGGAGCTGATATAAAGGCAATATGTACTGAGGCTGGTTTACTTGCTTTAAGGGAACGCCGCATGAAGGTGAGATTCATATAAATACTTCTATTTTCTTATTATAAGGTATTTTATTATGTAACATATAAGTTTAATACAACATATATACCTTCTGAGTCTATAGCTTTTAGAATTGGATACAAGATTCATAGCCATTAGAACTGACATTGCTTCGTAAAACCCATAAATAGACTCAAGTCTCCTTTCACTTTCAATTTTTCATAGGATAAAAAGAACTTTGCTAAATTTTTGTTGTTTAGTGAGAAAAAAGGATTCATTGTCGATATATTCTGTCATCCTGTGTTCTTAGGAAAGAGATGCAGAAATATGTACCTCCCTTGGAAGAGAACTGAACATTTTACTGTTTTGTTTAGAATTATATACAAAATGAATAAATTGAAAACTGTAGTGTCAAAATGTTTTCTTCTGCAAGCTATTAAGATCCATAAGGGACAGTATAGATCTCCTTCTCTCTGCAAGTGGAAGGCTTCATTTTCTTCAAATTTAGGTTATTTCCTTGATAAACTACTTATATTTTGGGTATGGCCAATTTTTGGCTGTATTGGACTGTTTGTGGTGCCATAATTCTGCGAAAAGCAGTGAAGATAGGGGTGTGCAAACAGTTAGTTTGGTTAAATCAGTTTTGAAAATCCCAAAACCGAAAAAACCGAACTGCTCTTCTTAAAAAATGAAACGGAACCGAAGTAGTTTAGTAACCTAAAAATTGAACACTGAACTACTTCAGTTTGTTCGGTTCGGTTACAGAAAACCGAACTCATGAAGATGAAGGAAAAAAATGCGAGGATGTAGCATTTTTTTACAAGATCCCATGTTGAGATTTTTTTTTTGTTTTTTTTTTCTAGTTGTTGAGATTTTCTTTTGTTTTGTTCTTTTATTTGAATAATAAAGAAGGAAGAATTTTGTTTTGCTTTTTGAACTCAAAGTTCGCTTATCTTCTTCAAGTATTACTCAATTTGGTAAGTGTGGTTACGTCGGTTAAGAGAATTCAAATTTGAAAACTGAACTAATTAAACTGTTTTAACCGAACTTAATTAATTGAAATAACTGAATATTGAACTGAACTCTGTTTCGGTTCGGTTTGAAGTTGCACACACCTAGTGAAGGGTAACTCTGATATATCCTCTTTGTGTGAGGTAGAATTAGACTTGTCATTGGTATTTGCAATTGGAGTCATAATTCTGCATATATAGCAAATGGTGGGTGATTCAAATGTTGGTAGAAGTTTTACCTGAATCTAAATATATCAAGTAATTGCTTTCGGTCCAATGGTCTGATTTGGGAAATCCCATGTTTCAGGTGACGCATGCAGACTTTAAGAAGGCGAAGGAGAAGGTGATGTTTAAAAAGAAAGAAGGGGTTCCAGAAGGACTTTATATGTAGAAAAACTTGTTTTACATACATTTCCAATATATTCATCTGGATTTGAGTTATTGTACCCACTCTTCTTATTTGGGGTATTCCATTCCTGGCAAGCACAGACAGTTTAGCAAATATCAAGGCGTCAAAATGCTATACCTGTGAGGCAATTACAATGCCACTTGAGTGATTACTTGTGTACTTGATTGAAACCCCATTGGATTTCACTCTTTCCTCAAGCTTGAGAGCTGAGACATTCCTTTTGGTGATTCCTAATTTCTTTGCTTCTAGGGTTGAATATTCAAAAACAATGTTTAACATAAATTATCACCCACAAGTAATATCTACACTTACTGCTAAAATTGATTCTTTAGAAAATTTACAATATTAACAATTTGTACAAACTTCATCAGATAGAAAAATTTATCGATTTATCTTTTTGTAAAATTAAAAAAAGAAAGACATGTTAATGCTTGAAAAAAATTAAGTTTTGCCAATGATCTTTTAAATCTATTCTATGAAATATACGGCAGCAATGCTCGCGTAATTGAGTTTTGAGAGTCCTACATGGGATCTTCTCAAAAATCAACTGTTTTTTCAAAAAGAAAACCAAAAGAACAAAGGAAAAAGGAAAGGGAAAATTAAGATTATGAAATTATTATAAAAATAATAATTTTTAAAATTAAGTTAAAATTATTTAGTAAAATAAATTATATAAATTTTAATTTTGAATAAAATTATCAATAAGAGTATTCTTGTCATTTTTAACTATCTAATAAATTAAAGCAGAATAAGTTTGTTTTAAATATATATTCGATTTTAAATGTTAAAATAAAAAAATCATAAAAATATAGAATAACTTTTAAACTTATATAATAATAATAGTATTAATTTTTTTATTAAAGAAGAGAAAAATTTTTTAAATAATTTTAAATTTTAAATTTTAAATTTTTTTTTCTTAATCTTTGTAAAAGCAAAAAAAAATTATGATTTGTCATTTTACATATAACAATCTAGAAACCTTGACTTAGGAAACTCCCATGGGAGTGCCATCACCTCAGTTGCTTCTTCTTTCTTTAGTTTTGGTAAAAGAAATAAATGAAAAAGAAAAGAAAAAAAGGGAAGAAAAAGGTTAGAAAAACAGAAGAAATAAACTAAAGATTTTGACGTGTGAAAATTTTGTTTCTTATTTTATATAAATTTTTTTAATTGATTTTAATTATTTTATTTTATACTAAAAATTATAATATAGCAGCAAAAAGAAGGTGTCGGAAGAATTTTAGGGTTTAAATGATAAATTTTTGTTTTGACCGATGGCTTATTCCTGCTATTAACCATTAGAATTTTCCCCTATTTTCTTGTAGCTCGAAAATTAGAATTTCATAAAGATTGAACTTCCTGTTTTCACCTTCACCTTTTCCAGAGAAAAAAAAAACATTAGAAAAAGTAAAGATTCAACAGGTGAATCAACCCCGAGCACCTCACCGATTCGACACAACACTTTGACAAAAGGGGAAAATCTTGAAACTTGAAGACAGAGAGCAGAGGACTGAACTGGGAGTCGACGCTTCGTCCCAACTCCGCCATTCTCGTAACTCTCTCCGTCCTAAGATCAATAGCTGTTTTGGTCTTCTTGGGTTAACTTTTAGCTCTGTAATCAAACGTTATTATGTCAAGTAGGTTGTTGCTTTGTTATTTGTGGCAGAGGTAGAATGGGAGGTCCTTCACGGCAGTGTCAAGTTTGCAACCAAGCTCAATCCAAGTACAAGTGCCCCTCTTGTCTTGTTCCTTAGTAAGTTCTGCCCGCTCTCTCTCTCTTCTTTTCCGTTTCTGTCTGGGTATTTTTTATTTTACTCTTTTCTTTTTCCATTACTTCCCAGTTGTTCTCTGGCATGTTTCAAGAGACACAAAGGTATGGCACCCACAATCTCGCTTGATTTTTTTGTTTCTTTATTATTGAAATCCAATCACTCTTTTATTTCTTCATGTATGTTGATTGGATGTTTGAGTTTTGCTTCATCCTTTTGCATATATTATGGGAAATTTCTTGGCCTAATGCTTTCTCATCGACTTATGTTCTGATAAAGAGATGAGCTTAACATTTTACTTTTGCTTTTGGAGTATTACGAAAGTCAGCAGTTTCCTTCTGTTTAGTGAAGTTGAAATAGGTGTGAGCCCAAAGAATAAGTGAACCAATGGTATATGGTCTCAAGCTTAGTTTCCACCAGCCTACAAACAATTCCTAAAGTCTAAGTTTTGTAGTCAAAGATTAAAGTGGGAATCTGGGTATCGTTGTCCTGTTTGTCCCACTTGTGTTTTTGTAAAGTCTTAAGGTGGCATTTTTCATCGTGATACTTAGATGCAGGAACTAATTTACTTTGCATAATGCAGAAACCCCCTGCACCAAGCCAAAATCCACAGAGGAAAATTCTGGTGAGAACTTCTTATCTTGAATTGGATGTTTTTCCTATGACCAATTTTATGCTTTACTCATGGATGCTTGTGTTCTTCTTGAATTTGATGTTCTAAAAAATTATTTTATAAATTGGTACATGTTGGGGGATGATAATATTATTACATATATGTCTTACGAAGTTTGTGGCCTTTGGGGATGATGCTATAAAATTTGATGCAGTGATAACTTAGAATTTTTAAATTTCTTTAGTAATATCAAGAATATGAACGCTTTTTCTGGTCTGTTCAATAGTCCATACTGAGCTGTATAAGCCAATTAGCGGTATAAGTGACATATATTGTCAATTCGGTCTCGGCTCAACTAGTAAATGACATGGCAAAAAGTTGAGAATATATAAGTGATACATGTTATCAACGCTAGCTCTGTGGTTCCAGAACCGGCCTAATGAGAATTAATGTGTGTGTGTGAATGATGCAGGAACCCCTAGTGTCAAGTCAGAATCCGCTAATGTTGCAGAAACCACCAGTGTCAAGCTGGAGTCCAGTAATGATGCAGGGACCCCCAGCCTCAAGCCAGAATCCTCTAAAGAAAGATCCAGTAAGAACTCTGTTCCTCAACTGCATGTTTTTCAGTAATTTAATTCCTGGCTCTAATAATTCAAAGATATGTTTGATGTTTATCCTTATATCTATATGTATATGCATGCTTGTTCGCAGATTTTCAGCAAAATCAAAAAGAAAACTTTCTTTAAATGAATGATTTTCCTAGTAGGTAGTCTGCTACAAAATTGAGATTAATTCACTTTTTTTATATGTGCTATATTGTGAACTATAAAGAGCCTTGATAAGCACTTTTCATCAATGAAAATCATCATTGCTCTTAAAACAAATACTTTTTTGGTATAGTTAATGAAGTACCTTTATGGTTTTTCAGCCTGGTCGAAGGAAACATGTTATACAGTTTGCTTCCTTCACATTCTAACTTTAAGATGAGTTCTAGAAATCATCATGACCCAGAATTCAGTTTCCTGAAGTATCATTTTCATACATGTGAACTAATTTTTCATTTACATGGTGTGTTAAAATCGACAACTTAATCAAATCCCCTTTTGTCTTTTTCATGAAACTTTCAGAACTCAAAAAGCTATTTGTTTCATTTCTTTTAGCTGCTAGTCCAAGATTTCAGGTGGAAAAGAAACTAGAAGTTGATGACCCAAGTGAGGTGCTGCAGATATTGCAACTACAGGCTATTGGTATGATATATATTTTTTCTATCGAAGCCGAGATCGAATAAAATTTGTTTCCACTCCTAATTTTAGTATGAACTACAATCATGTTGATAGTTGCTAAAACCATAAAGACCTTGAAGTACGATAAAATGCAAAAAAGATGATGGAAAGCTTGGTCATTAGTTTGTAAGAACTCAACAAAATAGAGAACTTGAAAATATCTAAGTAAATTGAAAATTCCTGTACAAATATAGCTTTTGATGAGAATTCATAATCTGGCATATCCATGGGAAATAAATTGAAAGCTCAGGGTCCCTTTGGTAACTAGAAAATGACTTGTTGGAGGAAAATTTTTTCTATGTGAAATATTTTATGGAAAATTTAATGTTTTCTGTTGCTTGGATAAACTGTCAAAAATATTTTTTGTTGTTTGAATCATTTTATGAAAAATATTTTCCATTATGGTGAAGTTATTAGATGTTAAAATAATAAATAGGAGTTGATTATAAAACAATATTGATATTTGATTTTCACTAATTTGGGATCAAA